GAGAGAGAGAGAGAGAGAGAGAGAGAGAGAGAGAGAGAGAGAGAGAGAGAATGAGAATGGGCACTGTTGGCCCAGGCCTCACACAGAGGGGCCCGGATTCCAGAACAATTCCATCTGATAATTTCTGATTCAAGTTTCAAAATCCTAACTAAACTTCCAAAAATTTTGGAATATGTGAAGTTAAAGTGAATTACACACATTCCTGGAAAAAATTATTAGAGACATGCCAAACTAAATCCTGGGATATGAATGGCATATGGTTGACAACCATTGAAAATGACTGGAAGATCATTTAAATATTAGAGCTCATTCTCAATATAATTTCTTTTAGTTCAGATGAAACGATTTTGTTGAATATGAAATTTGAAAATTTTACATATACAGAAATACTTAAGGAGTGAGTGACTCAAATCCCAAAGCTAAGAAGGGCAATTTATAATATGGCAAGTTGGCAAAAAAAATATTCTGTTTAATTTGAATTTTGCTTAAAACCAACAAGAGTAAAAATTCAGATTTCTGTGCCTATTATTTAGGAGAAGTCTAAAGGATATTCAGAAGACAATATGATGATGCTCCCTAATTGCTTTCTTAAACTTTTTATTTTGTAGAAAACTATACAGTGTGTTTTTTGTTGTTGCTATTTTTTTTGAGGCAAGATTTCTCTGTGTTGCCCCCACGGTTCTGGAACTTCCTCTGTGGACCAGCCTGGCCTTGAACTCACAGAAACCCATCTGCCTCTGCTTTCTGAGTGCTGGGATTAAAGATGTGTGCAACAACTTCTGGGCTACTGTGTGTTATTTTAATATTAGCCTAATGAGTTTTACTTTAAATAGGCTGTGGAGACTTAATGCAATCATAGACTTTTTTATTGAAAATAGAATTTTTTTTCGTAAGTGCAAGGTGGAGTCTAAAGTGTGTGTCCTACTTTGTAGCTCTAATTTCCAATTTTATGTCATTGTGACAGACATTTGTGATGCAATTGAAGGAATAAAACGTGTGAAAAGTATGTCAAATATAATGAAAAAAAAAAAGCCCTGACAATTCTACTGAGTTCTAAGTTGTTTCTGCTTTACTTGCAGACTCTGGTAAAAATTATTTCCGAGTTATAGAGAAGGCAGATGGCATCATCATCTTTCACAATGTTAATGTCGACAACAGTGGAAAGGAGACAAATGTGATTTTAGTTGCTGGTGAGTGTGGTGCCTATCATATGGTTTCTATTGCTGGGATAAAACATCATAACCAAAAGCAACTATGGGAGGAAAGGGCTTATTTAACTTCCACTTCCACATTGTAGCCCATCACTGAAGGAAGTCAGGACAGGAACTCAAACAGGGCAGGAAGCTAGAGGCAGGAACTGACACAGAGGCCATGAAGGGGTGCAGCTTGCATCTCATGGTTTACTCAGCCTGCTTTATTATAAAACCCAGGACCACCAGCCCAGGGAACGCACCACCACAAGAGTCTGGGCTTTCCCCCATCCATCACTAATTAAGAAAATATACTACAGAGTTTCCCACAGTGGGTTGGGCCCTTCCACTTCAACTGTCAGTCTGGAAAATGCCCTACAAGGTTTCCCACAGACTAGTCTGATGGAGGCATTTTCTTAATGGAGGTTCCCACTTCCCTTGTGATTTCAGCTGTGTTAAGTTGACCATAAAAAATTATCTTGCTTTGTTTGACAAAGCTATGAGGAGAGGGATGGGGTAGAGTGGGGGCTGGGGGGTGGGAGTGGGCATGGGTGAGTGGTGGATACAGAGAGTATGGTGAGGGTTTTGGGTGGTTGTTGATATTTGGTTCACCTGATTTAACTGTTCATTTCAATAATAATCAACAATTCCTGGGTATGGATTCTAGAATCTACACAGAAATAAAATGGAAAGTCAGACCATGCAGATATTTAGTTCACAGGTTCCTACTATCAGGATTCCATACAGCCCTTTGGAGAAAAAAAAACATGCTGATGTGGAAAGCATGAATAAATATAATCATAATTGTCATAATAATAATAACAACAACAACAACAACATACTTAGTCTTCAAGGTGGGGGAGGTCATGGTTACTCACATTTTGATTCCATTAGATGTGTTTTTTTTCACTTTAGAAATCTTAGGCTGAGCAGAATTGGAATGAGGGATGGTCCAGGAGGTAGGCTGTTTCCATGGGTCAGTACCACGTGACCCATTTTAACTGGGGGCTGCTCTGAGTTACCCAGTATCTTAAGGGACATTTGGTTTTCTGTTCCATGCAATGTAGGGAAAGAAGAGAGTCTGAGCAAAGCACAGAAACAGGAGCTTAAGAAGCTGGCCAACAAACTCAATATTCCAAATGAGAATATCCAGCACTTGGAGCCCGCAGGTAACACCATTGTGTTTCACACAGCACACAAATGCATCTGAAAAGATTCAGAACAATCATTGATTCACACTTTTAAATTTCAAAATCACTGGAAATATTAAGGGAATTTAACAATGTTTTTTATTTGTGCTTATTTTCTCCCTTTCTCAAAACAATCTTTCGTAGACACTTGTCATCAATAAAGACCCTGTATGGGTAAGTACAAACAGGCTAGAAGAGCTTGCTCACTGTTTAATCTGATAGAATTCATCCCTTAGTCGATTAGTTATATATTTAATAGAAAAAAATCTATTATATATACTCAAATGTGGCAAAGTTATGATTGACATTGCCGTTAGCGTTTATAACATGACAAAAAGCAACTCTCCCCGTAAAGCAAAGTGTAGATTTCTTTTATCTTGATGTGAAAGAATTTTGTGAAATTCTCAATTATTGAAAATGAGTAATATTTGTGGAAATCAAGAGTGTATCTTGTGTTTGGAAATACTGTAAATGTAGATGATCTTTCTAGAAATCTCTTGAGACACAACCTTGCACATACTTACTTTTTCTGGTAGATAATCAATATTTATATAGAAAACTGCCTATCTAAAGCCCAGTACAAAGCTATGGAAGTCAGCAAGGACAAACAGAGGCCTAACCCTGTGACATTTGTCATTTTTATCAAACCTTCCACTATAATCCTCAACCATTAATTTTTTTGTCATGTGCAATCTCAGAAAGTTCCTCAGTCCCATCAGCTCATGAACATCTTACTGTTTTGTTTGTTTTGCATTTTGCGTTTGAAGCTTCATGGATGACAGCAAGATCAGGAATATTTCCCACATCACTTTTTCCGTGAAAAGAGAATCATGACAATGAAGATAACTCACCTTTCATTTTTTCTTTTCATCTTACCTATAAAGCCAGAATCTCTGAAGCAAGAATCCCTGCTTCATGGATTTTCTTCCCATCCTCCTACCATAGTACTGACTCTTCCACTGATTAAATAAATTGATTTCTCATGCATACATTTCTGTGTTCATCAGTGTGATATAATAATCTACAACAAACAACTCCACTCTAACTATTGAAAAATAATCTAGTTTGGGATGACTAGTTCAGATCAGTAATTGCCCTTGCAAAAGACCTGAGTTCAGTTATTATCAACCACATTGCAGTACACAAACATCTGTAACTCCAGCTCCAGGGAAATCTCCACCATCTTCTGGCCTCCACAGGCTTGAATGTGGCTCCCACAGACCCGAGAGTCTGGGGGGATAGACAAATATTTTTTAAATTGATAGTTATATGGATCCTAATATTTCTTCTTTTTAACATAATATTTCCAACCTTTTATTCACAATCATCTCTATTTCATTAATTCCACCCACAAGATGTTGCATTTGGGTGATATAAATGCTGAATTAGGGAAGCCTTAGGAAGGGAACTATTTTAACCAGGCAGATGGCTCAGTCATTTAAAGTGCTTGCTAAAGCAAACATTTGGACCAGGTTTCCATCTCCAGAATCCGTGAAAAAATAAAGTTGTGGTGGCTCACACCTTTTATTCTAGCAATGGAACAATGAGGGGAAAGACTCATGGGTGCATCCTTGGTAGCCCTGCACATTCCTTCCACAGGTAAAACTCCCTTCTTCTATTTTTAAACATGTTTTTAGTTGAAATAGAATTATATCACCCCCTTTCTCTCCCTCCATCTCCTCCCATGCCCCACCCACCCACTCTCAAGCTGATACCCTCTTTTTCTTCTGATTTTGTTACTGATCCCAAACTGCAACCTTTTGAGGATCTTCCATGAGCATTTCAAGGGCATCCTAGGTAGCCATCCTGGATCATTTGAAGATTCACATAGATCTTACATATATATTGAAAACAAATTATTGGTTGAAAGAAAGAATACATGACATTGGCTGGAGACGGTGTCGCAGGATTGATTCAGAGGATGTGGAGGGAATGGAGTGACGATGAATTTGATCAAAACACAAAGTATGCAAGTATGAAATGTTCAAAGAATAATAAAAATACATTAGAAAAAGAATTCTCGAGATGGTAAGAGTCTCTAAATAGAATGGGAAGCATTGAAAAACAGCAGACAAAGTTGTTTTATACCCTTCAAATGCACACACAGGCATGCACACACATACACACTCAGACAGACACCAAAAAACATTGGAAATATTTTTGTTTTCTAAAAATACTAATTCTAGCCTTCCAAAATTATGTAAACATTACTAGCACATGTGTAACATCATGTTATATATGTAAGATCTATATGAATATGGAAATTATAAAGCCCTCAAGCCCTCAAATAAGCTGAAGAAATGAGAATATTTTTATCCTGGAGTTTAGTAATAATTGAAATGCAAGTGAAAACAGGTATACTGGCTAAATCATATTCAACATACAGTCTTTTCTGTTTGAATTATTTCTTTTAATTTTTGACATTTTAATATAATCACATCATTGCACTGTTCTTTTTCAGCCTGTGAACCCTCCCACATGCCCATCTTTTCTTTTTCAACTTTATTAATCATAATTGAGTTCACTGTCATTCATTCATTATTGTTTGTATATGTATATGCATATATATTCATAAATGTCTAAGTAGAACCTATTTAGTCTATATAAATCTTTTGAAAGCCAACTATATCAGTAGTTATGAAGGAAAAGGAAGTTACAAATAGCTATCAGAAAATGATGGATAAAGTCATCATGTGACCATGTTCTAATTATACTTTTATATGTAATTTTCATCAAAACTTAAAAAAGTCATCTGGATCATACAGATTAGGCACTTACAGAGTGCTGCGTAATACGCATTCCCATGCCTTTTCGCATTTCCCTGTTCATACAAAAATAGCCACAAATACTCATGAATCTGCAGTTTTGGTATAATTTTATCCGTTCCCCTTTTGATTTGAGAACTTCAAACATTGTATTCCTTATGTACCAAAAATGATGGATGGTTTCTTTTATTTATTTGATATGCACTATTTGTTTTTTTTCCTTTTATTTTATTTTACTACACCATTCAGTTCTACATATCATCCACGGATTCCCTTGTTCTCCCCCCTACTTTTTTGATTTTATACATTTATGTGGCATATACTGTTAGCTCTAAACCTGTCCTTTCTTTTCACGCACCCACCTCTTTCAAGACCCACCCCTTCTCACACTCATATTGGGATGTTTTGTTTTGAGACTGATAAATTTATTTATTCATTGTTTTTTAGTTTAAAATTATTTTATTCTTTGATAATTCATACATGTATATAATACATTTTGTTAAGATTTATTCCCCTTATCATCCTCTCTTATCTGCCACTTCTCACTGCCTCTGGACCCTTCTTTTTCCATTATATCCCCCTTTGTGCTGGATAGTTTTATGTCAGCTTGACGCAACTAAAGTCATTTGAGAAGAGGGAACCTCAATTAAGAAAATGCCTCCATAAGATCAGACTGTAGGTAAGCCTGTAATGCACTTTCTTTTCTTTTTCCAACATAATAATTTTATTCATTATTTATGAATTTCTCATCATTCACCTTGATTAAATTCACTTCCCAGTCCTCCAGGTCTACCCTCACTCTTGTGACCTCCCCCTCAAAGGAGGAAGAGGAGGAGGAGGAGAAGGAGGAAGAGGAGGAGGAAGAGGAGGAAGATAAATACCAAGTCCAATTTGTGTTGTCCATATGCTCACTGGAGCATGGTCAAACTTCCAGTGATCAGACCCTTAAAGAAAACTGAGTCCTTCTGTAGCACAAATCTTAAAATGTCTTATTAATAGAACAAGCCAGGGAGCTAGGTATTGGGGTGAATTTGGAAAGGTCAGAGAAACAGAACAAGCCACATCCAACCTCACCTTGCCAACTTCTCAGTTGATCTTGTTTCCTCAAACTGGAAGCCTCTGAGTCTTCACCAGAATGGATCTCAGCTGAACTGCTGCTCAAAAGCCTAAAAGCTTAAAAAGACCTCTAGTTCTTGGTCCTCATGCCTTATATACCTTTCTGCTTCCTGCCATCACTTCCTGGGATTAAAGGCATGTGTCCTCCTTCCCAAGCAAGACATAAGATTTCAAGTTCTGGGATTAAAGGTCTGTGCCACCATGTCTGGCTTCTATGTCTCTCTAGTGGCTGTTCTCTTCTCTGACCCTAGATAAGTTTATTGGGGTGCACAATATATCAACCACATCCTTCCTCACCCATCTCTGCTGTGGAATAATCCTCTTGTACACTGTAAAGATTTGCCACTCGAATTGGTTTAACAATACACTGACTGGACAGTAGCTAGGCAAGAAGTATAGGTGGGCAACCAAACTAACGATGATGGGAAGGAGAAGGGCAGAGTCAGTAGTCAGCAGCCAGAGGCAGAGGGAACAGGAGGTTAATATGCAATGCTGATAAAGGTACCACCATGTGGCAAAGCATAAATAGAAATATGGGTTAACTTAAAATGTAAGAACTAGTTAGTAATAAGCCTGAGCTATTGGCCAAGCATTTACAATTCATATTCAGCCTCTGAGTTGGTTATCTGGGACAGAGCAGTCAGGACATGGGAAACATCTATTTGCATATGGCATTCCAACTTGTGGCTGAAATTTTCACATAAAACCTGATAAAGCTTAAAAAAGGATTCTAGACACACAAGAATGGAGTCAGGCATGGCCTTTTCTGAAGTGGGCTCTGTTTGCTGCCAATGAACAGAGGCACACCTCCTTTAAGAGGTGGCTTTCTCCCTACCTAAGAGGATCACATGTCTCTTTCTCTAACAATAAAAATTTATTTGTTGGATTCCCAGAAGTAGGCATTGGCTGGAATCTCTGTTTCATATACAGGTTAGTTTGTTCAATGGGAAAATATTTCACAATCCATGCTGGGAATGTAGGCTGGTAGTAGATTCCTTCTGAGATTGAACAAGAACATGTTCTTGTGGACTTTAGTAGAAATATGCAAAAATAAAAAGGTATTTCTATGTGAAAAAGACATTGAATGTGTTCAGATTTAAAGATAAACTATTTTCCTTTCTCATCCTTATTTTACGTGTATGTGCTCACATGAGTGTTATGTATGTGCACCATATGTGTGCAGAAGCCTTCAAGGTCTGAGTATGTGTCAGATATCCTGGGTGATGAGCCATCATGTGTGTGATAGGAAATGAACCTCAGTCTTCTGCAAGAACATCAAGGGCTCTCACTGCAGAGCCTTCTCTCTGTCCCCCAAAGAGAAACTATTTACAGTTGACAAGCAATAATGCTGCAAGGAACGGTTCCTTGTGGCCATTAGAAATGCAGTACAGCATGTTCTTGGCATTGGGTCACATGGCTCCTATGGACCACATCAATCCAGCAGACTCAGAACGATACTATGGTTTCTGATGATAGATGAGAAGAGGTAAAGAGACAGAACTTCCTCTACCCTGTTGGTGGCTCACAGGACAGTGATTTCACTTCTTTCCAGACTTTAGCCAAATCTCCAGGAACCTCTGAAAGGGCACATCTGCTGCATTGGCTCAACCATCACACAAAGTAATTAATGGCAGAAGGACAGAAAACAACAGATTGTAGTAACACACCTTACACTGGTTCTTCAATGTCAATAGTATGTGTTGGGAGAAAATATCTGTATACCTTCTTGTTGAATAATCATCACATCGCATAAATGTAACAAAAAATGAGGAGCAAAATAAAATTCAGCAAAGTGTGAGGTCACAGACCTCTAATAGCAGTAGTTAGGAGACAGATAGGGAGGACTGTGAGTTCTCAGCCAACCTAGGCCTTATAGAAACTTCCAGGCCAACATTGGATACACTGAGACCTGGTCTCAAAAAAAGGTGGAAAATCCAGGAGGCCTCAAACTTACACAAAGTTATAGGAAAACAAGGGATGCAGAGAGTGGGAGAAACTGTCCTCCCCAGGAAAGAGCACACCAACTGGCTATCTGAAACCAATGGTCAGCAAAAAACATACACATAAGGAATACCATACAGACTGACCTGTTGTACTTACCCA